GTATATGCAGACATTGGTAATCCTTGTACTGATGGTGGGTTCCATTCACATCACATCACATCAAAAGTAATAAAATTTAAATTATTTTGCAAAAACAACAGCATCAAATTATTGGGGGAAGTTGTTCATTGAAACTTCCGGTCCGCTTCGTAGCATAGTGCTTGCTAAGAGGTGCCAGGTGGTAAGGGATGGTCCATTAATTATGTCACGCAAATTCGGCCCATTTTCAACCCCCTCCCCCCTTTGTCACATTTTTTGTATGAACCTTAATTTTTTTTGTATGGCTCGTCACAGTTTTCAAAGACCCCCCTCCCCCCTAAATGTGCGACATGATTAATGGACGACCCCTAACCTGACGATCGGCCAAATTTGGAAGATGTCTGCATTGAATTGTCTCACATTGTAATATTCCGCCCACTATATCAAAATCAATTGCGAGTAGCTGACCAAGTCTCTCCCGGCTGGCGCCAAAACAATGAATCTGGAAGCAACTGGATCAAGTTGTGATGGGGCACGAAATGATCCTGTTGCATGGCTTGGAGCTGTTGCAATCGGGGTTGGGGGGGGGGGGGGGGGTTGGGGGGGTTTGGTGCTAATGTTTAATTTGTTTTTGTATAATTTCAGGTGTTAAGGTGGTTCGCTGCCTCTGGATAGTGGGTTTGACGATGGTTCAGCAAGAATAATATTGACTGCATTGGTAACGAAAACACAGAGGAGCGTACACCTGATGTCACACACTAAGGTGATGGTAATAAGGTCGGTGATAATATGACATTTACACACAAAAGCGGAGTTCAAATCAGATTGGTCAACGTACCAAAATTCGAAACTTCGATTAAAACGTGGAATCTGTGCAGTACCCGTGGAGAACACTCAAAAGCTGCATTTCTCATCATGGCTGGTGGCCTCACAAATGGATCTCAGATGTAAATGTCATCAGAAGCCGATAGCAATAAAAACGAAGTCTGCAGGCAAGCGTTTGATTATGAATTAAATCCGCCAGAACATCGCAGCAAAGGCAAATACTAAGGCGGCAGAGCGTCTACAAGGAAATTAAGCAAGCCGATAGGAATTTTACCTGGGCCCAGGTCAAGCAGCTGCCCAGAATGGAAGTCTTTCAAGTTGGTCCTGTGCACCTCTGGAGGTTCCCAGGTATTTGAGTACGACGACGATGGACGTTGCCCCTTGGAACGGAATGAAAGCGAACAAACCTGATGTTGCACAACAAGCCGGCGTGTTTTTTTTTCAGCAAAACAACAAAATGCTCTATCTCTCTTCTTTATTCTTTTAATCTCTTACTATCCTCTAATCGGACGCTAGTGGGACCAAAAAGCCTGCTAGTGAAAGGAAAGTCGTTATGCTATACGGTCTAGCATAGGCCACGACTAAATTTCCGTAGGTTCATGCCTGGCTTAAGTGCAGATCGGTAGGCAGCAGCCAGTCAGGGTGTGAACTGAGCAATAACAATAACAATAACAATAACAATAACAAAAACAACAGCATCAAATTATTATAAGTATGTTGATTGAAATAACATGCATAACATTTAACATGTTTAGAGATAAACTAGCCAAGGCTAAAAATCTCTTTAATAAAGCTTTAAAAAAAAAATAAAAATGTAATGTTAAAAAGACTACTAAACTTGTGCTTGAGCGCTAGTGGCTCTACTTTTAAGCGATCAGCTGGTAAACATCCTTAAAAAACTTGTCGGGCGACGAGCATGCAACCTTAAAAACCATACAACCCCTTCCTGGAAGTCTTCTCCAACAGTTATAACAACCAGTGGAAACTAACGATTTAAAATTGGCTCACTACTTGACTAGCCTATTGGTCCCAAGCAAACGATTAACGTACACCATTCTAGTCGACATTCTAGTACTACACTATGCTTGTTTTGATTTGCTATGAAAGTTTGACAGATAAAATTAGGGGCTCGTGGATTTTCCTATGTTTCGAGGGGTGCATCGATTAGATTGGAACCGAAGAGAGTACCAGAGCTGAGCCAAAAAGTTGAGCACGTTTCTTCGGGACCTTCTAGTCTTAGAGTTACCTCTATGGTTATAATGTGTATGGCTAAAAGTTAAAAAAAAATTAAAATATTTTCTATCTAGAAAAACATAACACTTTTTTTAAGCGGGTTCATCTTCAGAAGGTTCTTATCGTCCAGCTGCTTCGCAAGTATGGACCTATGAGCTCATGAGTTGGAGTTTTCTGCCACACGACTTCCCATGGCTTCATTAAAACGGTTTCCGTTATTGTTCGACGATTAGTTTTAAAATTAAGCTTAAATTAACACAAAATATCTGATTCTTAAATCATAAATATCAGAAATAAATGGCGAGCGAAACTATGCCGAGATCTTAGTAAATGCATCTGCAGATTTCGATATAAATACTGTTTGCTGATATACTCAGCAACTGTATATGCAAAAAACTAAGTGTGCAGCAGCGCTGTTTTAAGGAAAAGATCAAGTCTAATAAACGCTGAAACATGTAAAATTTGATCGAATAAGCTCTGTTACAATGTTGGGTGTAGTCGAATAAAAGCATATCGATATACCTTACACAACACCAAGCAGTTCAATCACCGACAAACCGACATGAATGATTATACAAAGTATCATCAAATTTATGATCAAAGCACAAAACTGACATCTGCCGCCGTGTTCGCGAAAATTTTGTATCCTAGCCACGAACACGCATACAAACTGTATGAGTTGGTTGGTGTCTAATATATTCCGGGCAAATTATTTTTATCTAGATAAAAATTTCTATGGTTTTGACAGATGGGATCGCTGCACAATTTGAATCCACCGTTATGGATTCTCGATCAAGAGTTAAGTTTAAGTTTCATGTCGATTTGTCGGTGGTTCAACATTGTAGTTGATTTTTTTTGAAAATAGTACAAGTATTATTATGCAGTTGAATAAAATCCTCAAGAAGACATTTCGTCAATAGGTAATTGTTAGTTCGGTAGTGGCACCAACACTGAACCGAAGGTTGCTAGCCTAACTAGCGACATCCGATGTCATTACCGACATTAGAGGCATGGGGAGACCAGTAATGTCAGCAAGAAAAGAAGCTTTAATTTTCAGGCGCATGCACACTATAAAACAATAAAATCTTTCGAAAACTTTTCGGCATCATCGGCAGTTTCTGACTTGAATTTCAAGGTGAATCTGAAAATAGTTCTATAGAATATATAAGAATTGTGAAGAGTATTTTAAGGAGGATTCAAAGGGAATTCTGAATATGAACTTCTGTGGGTTACTTCTTAGGAACACTGAAGAGTATACCCAGGAAATTTAGTGGAGAGTTTCTGGAAATTCTGAGAAAAAATTCAAGTGGATTCCAAGAATTCAGGACATTTTCAATGGAATTCACAGAAAATTCTAAAAAGAATTTCAAACGAAGCGATTTTTGAAGAGACTTACAGAGCAATTATAGGGATGGTTTCATGAGAAGATGAATTAAAAACATCCATGGGCATTTTCATGAGAATTCCAAAATAGGTTTGTAATCCGCATTATATTGCAAAAAAGTTTGATGTAGAAAACTATAGATAAGAAAACACAAATCTGAAAAAAATTAAAATCCAAGAAGATTCGAGGAAATTATTGAAAAAAATCAAAGAAATCCTTTAAATAGTTCCAACAGCAAGGAATAAAAAACAACTACACAATAGATAAAAGTAAAACAAATACAAGATCTAGGGCTTGATTATTTCACAGGGAGAGACTTTCACAGGTTCGAGACTTGCAGGATCGAGACAGACAGTGATCCATAGTGAGGTTTCATTAATTGTAGGTTTCTAAAAAAAGATACATACCTTTTATATTATCAATTATAAATGTGATTTACGCCTTCTCTTGCTTGAGAAAAAAAATCATTTTTGCGTGTTACACCTGGGAGAGCTTAAATTGGGGAGGGGAGAGTAAACTACCTTTTTAACATTACGTAATTTGTGATCATGTACATCATGTGAACATGTACAATGAGAATTGATGGTAACTCCCAGCCCCATCCAGTTGATTAAGTGTGCAACTGACTCTGATCAATCACGGAGTATTTAGCAACCAAACCATAGATAATGCAGTCAGCCTAAGCTAAACTAAGCTAAGCTGTTAGTTTTCAGTATCTTTAATCTAAAAATACATCATGCTGAATGTGTATTATTTTTGTAATATCACTACCAAATTTGATATAACTTAGCATCAACGATGCCAGATATACAGACTTTTGTACACGATAAAGGTGGACACTATCTTTTTTGAACCCTTGTAGTATTAATTATAATAACGATTTTTCTAATCTCATTAGATATAAAAATAGTTACAAATATTAACTAGTTATTGCATTAATTATAGCTTCACGAAATATTTCATTTGATATTTTTTGGATACAATTAAAAAAGGGTGACCACTTTTTTCGTGTACAGAAGTCTGTATATATGGCATCATTGCTTAGCACAGCTATTGGGGACCTCAATACAAAAGCCGTGGGGGGGGGGGGGTAGGGCAGTAAAGTTGACCCTTCTTTCTGATCTTATTCATTATAAGTACAACGAAAAGTGCGGAAACACTGATAAAGTGCACTTTTACGTTGAATCGTTTTTATGTCTTCGGCGCACTTATTCCTTGGCTCATAACGAAAAAGTGCGCAGAAGACGGTTATTGCGGAATTGCTAATTAAACCTGATTCACATTAAAAAAAATTCGCATCATTCATTCGCCTCTGCAAGGAGGAAGATTGGAATATCAACTATTACATTTTTTGGACTCGTTGATTACAATATTTAGTATAAAATAATTATTTCAAACCGACCATTCAAAGCATTGCTATTTTACGCTTTTCCTTCATAACATGAAAAACCTACAGGATTTACTTTGAACATGACATGATAAGAACATGCATACTGCGCAATACACAAAATTACGTCATAACTAACAACAACAATTCTGTCACAGCATCCTTCTTCTCAGATTTTCTCCCAGTTTTCCAACGTGTTTGACGTCTCACATAGGTGTGGTAAAAATTCGGTATACGCATGGGAGATCAATTTCATACCTTAACAAGTGGCTAATAATTTGATTCTTCGTTCTGGATAGGGTGAACAAGTATGTTTAATTAATTGATACACCGATTCATACTGCAAGTGCAATGTAAACCATCGTTGAAATTCTCAAAACTATCAACAAATTTTGGATAAGTTGTAATTAAGGTACGGTTTACCTATAAATCAATATGAATGTAAACAATAAAAAACAAGCGTATGGTTTGAAAACAGCTGAAATGTGTCGTAAAACCGTGATTCATCAATAAGCATTCTAAAATGTATAAGTTATTTTGAAGGATATGATGGTAATGAAAATTTCTGAATACACCGAGTAGAAATGATTCATAGGATGTGTACACAGCACATTTGGTCATACTTCAAATTCATTTTGTTGGGTTTGTATAGTTGATACCGTTGTGATGCATTAACATACATACGGCCAATATTTTAGCTATCGTTGAAAAGGATTGCTAAGTAAACAGGACTCGTATTGGACATCACCAAAAAAATTTTACGGCACCGATATTAGTGCATGCATTTTAGGTTAAAAATTTAAGTTTAAAAATCAAGAAGACACATCAATTATATCTGACCATGTTCAATCCAGTCATAAATGATAAGGAAGTTGTAAATATTTCTGTGTTCATACGATTTAAAGCAAGATTTTCAATGCTAACCAATATACACTCTTCATTAAATAAGCTCCAGACATTTTAATCCATCATATAAAACCATAAAAACAATAATAATAACCTTTCTATCACTTTTGGTAGTGAACTATGGATTATTGAAACAATCAACTCTTGAACAAATTAAATGATCTAGAGTTCTTTGTAACAGTATAATTAATTTTCCAAAATACATTTTGGCTAGTCAACAGGTGGAATGCGAACATAAACAACAAAAACAAACATTGTGTATGAAGGCGGCCGGCACTTTTATTTTGTGTTTCTGAAATTTAATGTATATTAGCGCAATTAAGTGTTATATAATTCAAAATTGGGTTGAATTCGACACATTCTACGTGACGTTACAACGTTTTGCCTGTTTTTTCTACAGTTGTTGTACTATAACTGATTAAAACATAGAAGGATCCCCAAATATTTTTTGCAGATTTGGAAAGTGCATTAAATTTCCTAAAAGAATTATTGAAGAGTTTTTGGTTTGAGTAGCTCGAAATGTTTGTAAATAATTGTTGAGTAGTGTAGTTGATAAATGCAAAACATTGTAACGTAACGCAATATTTTCGCACACCATTAATCATTTTGAGCTACTCAGATCATAAACTCTTGATCAATTCTTTTAGGACATTTATCACAGTTTTTAAATATTCAATAAAAATTTAGGGTTACTTTTAATTGTTTCAACTATGGTACAAAAATCAGGCATAAACGTGGATACATCCTATATAAACATTAAACCAAAAGCACCAGCCCGTGTAACGTCAAAAACAGCTGAAACATTCAGAGAGTGGTTATCTCACCTACTGACACGAGTCTGGATGTCGGCCTGTGGAAAATATGAACTTTTATTTTTTTAGTGGTATTAATCTAGTTAATACGTTGCCTGGATTTTGTTGCAATAGACGAACAAAATGCACATATAAACTCAAGGATGAATATCTCCATAATACTAACTTCAATCATGATGCTGTCTTCTTCAAAGTAGTTTCTTATAGACTAAGCTACATGTTCTGATATTCTGAGCTCAAATGAGTATGCGGAACCAGTCTTATACACGAAAGAGTGAAGGGATGTTATTTATCCGCATATTTAAAAAAAAATCCCTATATTGCGCATTTTGCACCAAATTAGACTCCTGTGCAAAAAATAATTGCACAGTAATATATATCAGGTGTGAAATCCGCAATACAAACTTTAAGCCAAAACCGCCAGCTTGTGTTACATCCGAATGAGCTGAAATTTTCAAAGAGTGGTTTTCTCACCTAATGGCACAAGTCTGGGGGTTTGCCCGTTGAAAAAAATGATAAAAAGTTCTCCGATATATATGTAGGCCAGTCTAATAAAAATACTCCTAAACTGTGTAAAATTGTCATATTTCCAAAATCGAGAAAATGTTTGAATGAGTTGATAATATTCTAAGGGCGCATACAAGTTATATTTAGCCCAAATGCTTCTTCAAAACTTCATTTCTCTTGTAGTCCCACTTAACCCACGGCTGTTAATTAAGTGTGGTAAGTGAGATTTATGATTATTCTATTAGACAACCTCATAATGTCACAATTATTTTATGAGAAATATATTAAACGAGTTATTATAATTGCCATAAATAAATTTCAGCGTTGGAAGATTAAAGTTGAATTCAAGATTCCATAATGAGAAACTTGTAAAATATCGTTAAAGCCAAATTTCTTCCAGCTAGACAATCTTTCACATTCTAGTGGAAATCAGATAACAATAATAAGATTTATGCCACACAAGCCATTGGTCCCGCTTACCCCGAAGTCCCACTCCCCCCAGTATACCGCAATCCAACGACAAATTGACCACTTAATAATAAAAATATAGACCTTTGACTATATGTTTAGTATTACTTCTGCGTGAAGTCAACGATTTACATAGTTGAAGATGCTAATTTCAAATAACAGACTGAAGTGGTAATTTTTATACGATAAATGAGGAGGAGATGAAAGTATAGAATTGATAGTTCCGTTTAGAGTACGGCAGTGTGAAAATTGCATATAGAGAGTAGACAGCGAGCTAGGACAACTTTTAAGGAAGGTTCAAATCGGTTTTATCATCTCTCTTTACCAAAATCTCCCTTTGGAGAGGGATGGTGAGGGATATCCCCCCCCCCCCTCTCCCCGCCACCACTGGCAAAAAGAGATGATCGCCGACCGCTCAAGTACCAACGATGTGTTTGAAACAGTTCTACCGATTTTTACAGCACTCCAGTTGTTATTTGAAGGAAGGCATCCAGTCGTAGGTTTGGAAATTGCAGCTATTGTTACCCCTACCACGGTATGTGCTCCTGTCATCGTCGACTTGACGATCTTGAGGGGACACGGGTGGGGTTGATGCTGCTACTGTACCTTTCGACCAATGACAGTAATTGATGGTATGCTCCCATCCAGAGTTATGTACTTTGTCTATATGTATTAGTATTACTTCTGCGTGAAGTCAACAATTTACGTAGTAGAAGATGCTTATTTCAAATAACAGACTGAAGTGGTAATTTTTATACGATAGATAAGGAGGAGATGAAAGTATAGAATTGATTGTTCCGTTTGTACCTTCCTAAAAGTTGTCCTAGCTCGCTGTCTACTCTCTATATGCAATTTTCACACTGCCGTACTCTAAACGGAACTATCAATTCTATACTTTCATCTCCTCCTCATTTATCGTATTATCGTAAATTATTTTTTCCCCTTCCCGTTGGTTATGTTGGTTTGTGTAGGCGTGCGTTGAGTTTCGAGAAATCATCGAGAGAAGTCATATGTTTATGCTGTTATGCCCTAATTCCAGCTCTATCAAGAAGTATGAGATAATATAACAATATTTTATTAAATGTAAGTGGCAAGAAGAGAAGTTGTAATATCTCATAGTTTCATAATTCCGAACAATAACATTTTAGCTGTAATGAGCGATTGCACTGATGAACATCCATTTATGGTTTAAAATTAAACAATATATGTAACCATAAAATAAAAAAATAGAATATAGGATTTAGAGTTTTTCAATCTCATGAGTTTATTACTACCATACAGAAATATCAACGTATCATCACAGACAAACAGACGTAACACTTCATTGTGTATCTTCGTTCACGCATTTAACGGTTGATTTGAATATTATCAGTTCCGCGAACTACTCGCCGCAGCGCTGGCATCGGATCACTTTGACGTTTCTATACATTCTATAGAACTTTTATGCAATATTGTTTGTGAGTTAGCGAGCAAGCTTGTTTTCCGCGAGAAGCCAGAGATATGTCGTTACTGAGGACCTATGTTTTGAGATACTATGTTTTCAAGAAAAACTTTTTCAAAGTGTTACGTCTGTTTGTCTGTGGTATCATCACGTATATGACTGTTTACTGTGATTTTCTATTGTTTTCATGATTTTAGGAGGTACCCAATTTGAAAAATAATCTAAGCGAGGGGTAAAACACCGAGCTTTCGTTTTCAAATGTTGTAGAAAAATGTTTCTAGTCATTTTTTACAAAAAAAAAATCTTCAACAACAACACCGTAACATCCTTCGGTTTGGAAGTATGCAGCTAAGTTCGAGGAAAAATACCTTAATTCATAAAGAGAGTATCACCAAACGTGAAGCGTTAGAGCAAATTATTTTGTCCTAGAAACTCGTGTTGCACAGTGTTTTCTGTTCTATTTTTTTGATCACATTTCCCCCAGTAAACCTCAACTGAAATGTCCACGGGGGCAACAATCAAGAATTTCGTCGTAGCTCACATTAATGTGATGAATATAGGGGTTAGGATGACTGCAAAAGACTACTTTTTCTAGCATTCACCACTGCGATGCAAGTTTGAAAGTGTAAGCTGTTTTGTTCTGTCGTACCTCCGTCAGTTTTGCTCAAAAGTCAGTCATAACATTTGTTAACGGCACAAAAGCATTTGTAAACAAACTTTCTAAGGCCCTTTCCACGCGAACCAAAGTACGCTCACGCAAACCAACAATATCATCGGATAGGGCCAACTATCACCTTTCCGAAAGTGGTATTGGTTTGGGTGGGCGTACTTTGGTTCGCGTGTAAAGGGCCTTAGAATGTTTGTTTACACATGCTTTTGTGCCGTTATCAAATGTTATGCCTGAAGTGTCAGATTGTCCAAAAATGTGAAAATTATGTGAGCTACGGTGCATCTTATAGATACTATAGACACAGACATATATGTGCTATAGATTCCATAGATAAGCTGAGGTACAAAAAGTTGTTTTGGCAACCATGAAAAATAAATGATCTTAACTGGCATCTGTGAAAAAAATTCATGCCATCATAGAGCTCTTCGTTGTGCAGTTTTGTTTTGTTTCGTGCGTAAAAGTCTAGGTAAAAGTTCAAAATGAAGTGCAAAGCAAATCTTTGCAACAATGTATCGAGGAATGGTTTGCTTTATCTTTCCTTCTTCCGTTGTCCGCGAAATGAATCGGAATGTGGAGAGTGGAAAGCGTTTTGTGCTCATTATATTACAATACTTCTCCCTCAAACAACACCATGATGACGTCATGCTCGTTTGGCTACACTAAGGCTCTGAACCATTTGGTGGATTATTTTAACTTTTGGTTAAAATTTGACAGATGAAAAGTTATCGATTAACCCTGCTATCCGAGCGTGGTTACTTCTGACAGACAAGAAGTTAAATTTTGACGACCGTGGCTCGAAAACCGGTCGATCGACAGCACGGGGATTTTCGAACATAAGAAATAACTTTCGAAATGTCACTTTTAACCACGAGTTAAATTTAACTCGGCAAATGATTCACAGCCTAACTGACAGTTAGTTTGACTATCACGGATAGAAATCTCCTTATACCTTTTGGCAAATTTCCATTGCTGATTATTCATAAATTGTATAAGTCAACTAATAAGCAGACGCCTTGCAAAAAGTTAATAAAGATCATGTGTCAAATGAAATGTATAAGCGGTCACACATACCTTTTAAGCATTCTAATGGGACCTATGGGGTTTGTCTTATGGAATGTATAAGGCTGATGCTTTGGCAAAAATGTATAAGTGAAACACATGAATTAAATAATTGATTTTCGTTTCGTGTACATTATACCACAGACAAACAGACGTAACTCTTTGAAAAACTTGTTCTTGAAAACATAGTATCTCAAAACATATAACCTCAGTAACGACATCTCTCTGGCTTCTCGCGGAAAACAAGCTTGCTCGCTAACTCGTAAACAATATTGCATAAAAGTTCTATAGAATATATAGAAACGTCAAAGTGATCCGATGCCAGCGCTGCGGCGAGTAGTTCGCGGAACTGATAATATTCAAATCAACCGTTAAATGCATGAACGAAGATACACAATGAAGAGTTACGTCTGCTTGTCTGTGATTATACTTTTCCTTCGCTTATCTATGGAATCTATAGTATCTATAGTGCATGTATATGTGGTTGACAGGGTCCCCCTGGAAATGTCTTTTAACTGAAAGCCACAATCTTCAGTTAAAGGACACTAAACTATCTAAATTGTGCAACATCAAAATATCTAGAACAGTCAGATGCTCATCGATGAACTTCGAATACATTTGACAATTTCAGTTACCGAACGAGTTTTTTTTTTATGTTTTTTATTAAATACAAGCACTAAATACCAATATTGAAACGATAAATTTATTTATAAATATTGATAATATGGTTTTATTTTCAGACGGCACAAGCTTCATTATACGGTCAATAACAGTAATGGCTGTTGGTCGCGTAGCAGGAACAGGGAATATCGGATATTCTTCAAATTATCGCGGTGGAGGTAAAATAAAATTTAACAGATTGTAACCTTTTTTTTATACTTACACACAAATCTTTCTGTTCTGTTATGAAATCAGTTTCCTGTTCTGTTATGAAATCAGTTTAGTAAACTGTGTTAAAGGGACTGTAATAATACATAAAATGGTTTGCTAATAAATATATAATAATGAAATTCAGAAAGGGGGCAACCGTTAAATACGTTACATGGAAATAAATATTAATTCAGTCCACCTCCCCGTTTCGCACATTTTTTGCTCTTCTTACACACAGAGTTCAAAAAGTTCAAAAAATTTGATTTACTGGTAGTTAATGATTGTTTGTGGGTTCCAATGTTGTGGGATTAAAATGATTCTAATTTTTAAGATTTTTATTAGGGGACTGATGTTTAGCGCTTCCTGGTGGTTCAGCCGGTTGTTGGCTCCAGCGTTTCTTCTACATTTCCATACTCCGGACAGTGGGGTGACGTTGCATGTCTGAACCGATGCAGGTACTTCCTGAAGCAACCATGACCACACAGGAACTGCGTCAGGTGGAAGTTTATCTCTCCATGCATCTTGTTTACCCAGGTCGAAATAATCAGAACTACTCGATGGATCCATCTACTGTTCTCCGCCGAGTCCCATTCCTGTTGCTAGTTGGCCATCGGCTCCGCTCTCACAACTTTCCGTACTCCTCTGGTTTCTCTCCGCTTATAACATTCGCTTTCCTCCACCAAGGTGATACCGATATGGATCATTCCGGCGATAATGCATACTGCTTCCGACGATATGGTTATGTACGCACTCAGGACTCGCTTGGCCATGAGCCGGTACGTACTGCTCAGTTTCCTTAAATTCTGCTTGGTTTCCAACGCTGCAACCCAGGCTAACCTCCATACCTCAGTATCAATGTAGATACACTAGCCGTCTATTGCTACTACTTGGTCCCGAAAGGTTCGGCATGGTTACCGCGTTGATGGCCTTCACCGCCATCTCGTCGGCGGATTTGACGTGGCTAATAAAGCTAAGCCGATCGTCGATCGTCACTCGCGCTTCGAGGCTATGGCGTACACACCGACGATGATTTCTGCCCTATGCACTGCTATACAGTTACTGACCAATAGCACTTCCGTTTTGTAGTGCCCTCCCCATGGACATGGAGGTTGACGGTACTGAAGCAAAGGGTTATGTTTAATTTCTTTATATTTGCAACGATGATGATTTCCTATAGTGACACATATCACCTTCTTAATGCTTCAGTATGCCTCAAACGATTAATTCTTGGTTGTTAATAGAACTTCCTTGATGAAATCGGCTGCTTCATGCAGACTGAGCAATTCTGATTATAGTATCAGATTTGTTCTGTATACAGAGGCACTGGGAGGGCTTATTAGAAACTTCTCACCAATAAAGTTATGATCTAGTGAATTTTGCATATAATTTTATTAATATTTTATTTTCTTTAAGCATATTATTTTTGTTACAGTCAATTAGCACTAGCATACGATACAAGAGATTTAATATTACTTGCTCGTTTTTGCGAAAAATAATCAATATTTATTTTACTTGTAATTAACTTTGAAAGTTTTTTTTTCCAGTTTTTTTTTGTGATCTGAAAATTTTCCCAGTTTGGTTAGAAGTTTCGAAGCTAACGCATGTCCACAGGCCTAATAGAAAGATAGACAGAAAAAGTGTTTCATGAAGAATGGTTGCATGCAGTGTTTCCACTCACTTGTTATAGATGAGTGATTTTCGGAGTTTTATTCGTTAAATTTTGCAGTGGAGGTTTGTGTTGTTGGATGCGGGAGGAGATTGGAGGGCCGGTGTTTGACGCATAGAGCCTGTCAATTTCGCTTTCAGAGTGTTTTATGATTCGTGAGCGCTCGCGATTCGTTGATTGTGACTGCAAGTGGATTTGGCAGGTTTTGTGAGTCGGACGCTTGCTTTTTGGTCTCTTTTTGTGTCTAACATGTGCAGAGTATCATTATAGCGTCTAATGGTTTTGAGATTCCTGGTTGTGGATTATGAGATGCTCGATGACCCTGGAGGGATCGATTTTGCTTACTGAGCAGAAAATAATGAATTTAACCCCAAGCTCTTCCACAGCACAATAAATCGCCACCATCATTTGTATATTTGATATTGAACATTAACCACATTGATATTGAACATTAACTATTTGCATATCAAGCGAAAACGTAGTCCTGTATTGTCGCGAAGCGTTATGGTTCTGAGATGCTCGATAACCCTGGAGGGATCGGTTCTGCTTACTGAGCAGAAAATCATGGGTTAAATCCCAAGCTCTCTAGAAAAAAACTCTTTTATGATCACTAAACAAAATGAATATGTTCTTTCGATAGCCGGCTATCGAGAGATTAAATAAACAACAAATAAACAATACATACTTTTGGTTGCATCGCCAACTTGAGGTGAATCCTAACCGAATACCCTACCCAACCCTCCAACTCCGTAGCACTTATGAGGGTGTCGCTAAGTCGGTGGCCTCTCGTTAAGTAAGTACTACATCAACATTTCCTTCCCTATCCCTAGTTATGGTAAAGATGGGCGTGGCCGGGAATAGCGATAGTCATGCTTTTAGATTGGAACCAATGTTTACTCCCCAGCATTATTCCTGAAAGTAGTCTAACTGAGAATTTCAGAAGAGACGTGAGTGTCGCTAGTATCCAATCTACGAAGTATATCATAACAACGCTAACGCTAATAGCACTTCCGTTTTGTAGTGGGTTATCTGCAGCTTCGCTCGTTGCATCCAATTACCAATCATGTCGATCGCCTCGGTCGCAAATATTTCCACCTCTTCCAGCGTCTCTACTGTTACCGTCAAGACGACGTCGTCCGGAATGTCGACGATCTCAATTCCTTTGGTCAGCTTCAGCGTTAGCACGCCGTTTTACATCCCGTTTCATAGCGTCGGATCAAGGATAGCGCCTTGTGGAACTCTCGCCGTGATCCTAATCGATCTCTGAACTATGTCTGTGTAGTAGACCAGAACCCGGTTCTGGAAGTAAATCCTCAGGATCCTATACAGGTAGCCAGGAACCCTCATTTTATACTACATTGTCCACTTCTATTTAGACGCCTTCTCGGCTCTGTCGACCACTATTCGAATTTCATCCACCAATGCTCTCCCTTTACATAACCTACTTCTCTGACAATCCGTGCTCACTCTACGTGCATTTCGTCAGCCTGTTTGGGATGATCGTCTCCAAGAGTTCTCTGAGTGTATCCAGCAGACATATCCAAACAAACATTGCATGCATAATAAGACTTTATTCAGGCAAAAATATGCTTCTTATTATTATTTTTTTTATTATAGTCATTTTAACACTCTTGGGTCATTCGTGACTTGTCCGGAGGTGAGATTTGAACTCGTGACTTTGGCGTGAGAGGTATGGATGTTAACCACTACGCCGGGGTCGCCCCCGTATGCTTCTTATTACTTTTTATTTCTGAATTGGGTTTGATGATACACGTTCCTTGAACCATGGGTGATTATTACTGGTACCTGTTGGTGTTCCCTGTGGTTGTTATATTGGTGGATCGGATGATCTTCCTTGTGATCACTTTGATAATCATTCAGCACATGGTCACGTCTAGCAGTAATTGGTACGCATGGTCACGTCATTTATCCATATTGGCACGAGTAGTCGCGGTGGCTATCAATTAGTTGGGCGCGTGGTTCACGTCGTCTATCTTGGTTAATGAGGCAAAGAATAGTTTATAGGTTCTATATTATTCTTCTGTAAGCATAATAATCTCAATGTAGCGATATCACCACAAAGCAATTTGGTATAGGTTAATAAGGCTGCCCACGAGACAATTGCGATCAGCTGACTTTTTTGTTTACCATGAACTATTGGCAGATCACAGTAGAACTGGCAGTTTAAAGGGTGATACGGTCAAAATTTGGTCAAGGGAAAACGCGTGTAAATCGGTGAAATCGTTTATTTAAAAAATCAAATTAAATTTCTTTTTCAAGTTCAATTAGTATAAAATTCAGGAAAAATATTCAGTTAGGCTTCCGCTTTTCCAAATCCGAATTGCCGGGCCTTACGCTTGACCCCTGCCATCAGATTTTGTACAGCCACCTTGTCCACCTTCTTCGCCGCAGAAAGCCAGTTTGCCTTGAACTGCTGCTCGCCCTTAGCAGTTTTTTGGTCTTCTTTAGGTTCCGCTTGACAATAGCCCAGTATTTCTCAATTGGGCGGAGCTCTGGCGTGTTGGGAGGGTTCTTGTCCTTGGGAACCACCTGCACGTTGTTGGCGGCGTACCACTCCATGGCCTTTTTACCGTAATGGCAAGATGCCAAATCCGGCCAAAACAGTACGGAACAACCGTGTTTCTTCAGGAAAGGCAGCAGACGTTTATTCAAACACTCTTTCACGTAAATTTCTTGGTTGACAGTCCCGGAAGCTATGAAAATGCTGCTTTTCAAGCCACAGGTACAGATGGCTTGCCAAACCAGATATTTCTTTGCGAACTTTGACAGTTTCATGTGCTTGAAAACATCTGCTACCTTTTCCCTTCCTTTTGCCGTATAAAACTCCTGTCCCGGAAGCTGCTTGTAGTCGGCTTTGACGTAGGTTTCGTCGTCCATTACCACGCAGTCAAACTTCGTCAGCATCGTCGTGTACAGCCTCCGGGATCGCGCTTTGGCCGTCGTATTTTGTTTATCATCGCGATTTGGAGTCACTACCTTCTTGTAAGTCGATAGTCCGGCTCGTTTTTTGGCTCGATGCACGGTTGTAGACGATACACCCAGCTTATTTGCGGCATTTCGGAGAGAGAGGTTAGGGTTTCGCTTGAAACTACCGGCAACTCTCTTTGTCGTCTCAGCGGCTTCCGGTTTTCGATTTCCCCCCGATCCAGACTTCCTGGCTGTCGACAAACGTTCCCCAAACACTTTAATTACATTTGTAACGGTTGATTTGGCAACTTTTAGCGATTTTGCCAACTTTGCGTGCGAGTAGCTCGGATTTTCGCGATGCGCGAGCAAAATTTTGATACGCTGCTCTTCTTGCTTGGACGGCATTTTGACAACTGAAGAGTGAATTACAAAATCAAAATAGGAGCAACATTCTACACACACACACCTTCAAAATGAGGGGTGTTCAGGTTTTTTAAATGCAAAATTGAAAGAAATACGTCAAGTTGATATTGACCAAATTTTGACCGTATCACCCTTTATTCTCATATGAATTTCTGCTTTATTTATGTTTACAGGGTGCGTGATGAATTTTTGCAGTAAATGGCATATTTGAGAAAAAATACACCAGTTAGTTATTCTAGCAATGAATTTTGTGCGATTTATTTTCTTTCGCAACATATGGAAGTTGTAAGTAAATTTATTCAAAAAAATTGCCTTCCCTTTCGACGACTGTAGTTAGACGCTTCCGGAAACTGCAGTACGCACGTTTTAAAATGTTTTGAATCATAGATGTCATCACTGCCTTGATTTTAGCTTTTAGCGACTTAAGTGTGGTGTGAGGGGTTCTATTGGTATCCCGTTGGACGAAGCCCTATACAAAATAATCCAACGGATTGATATCGGGACTGCTTGGGGCCAAACTTCTTCCTCCTAAATTTACGAAATATTTTCCGTAAGCCATTTCTGTGCTTTATTAGCAGTATGAGCAGGTGCTCCATCTTATCACTTTCCCAAGCCTTTTTTAATATTATACACTGTTCTTTCAGACACATTTACCGACCGAATTATTTCTTTCATGCATACTCCGGCGCGCAACAAAGCGACAACGGCTGACAGATTGCTCTCTTGTTTCGACATCTTTACGTTTACTCAACATTGTTTGTTTAAATCTTACACCTAACAGTATAAGCTATCCAGTGCTGCCAAATATATCTAAATCATGATGCACAAGCATGAGAAATTACTATTTGAAATTTACTGCAAAAAATCGTCACGCACCCTGTACATTCAGCACCATTAACACCAGATCACTCACACTCTTGATTTCTATAGCTGTCAGTTAAACCGAGAAACGTCTCTTGGATCACCTCGTCATAACTTGACATACACACTACGAAAAAGGCATGTAAATTTCGGTGCCCTGAGACCGACACATGTAAGCGGCTTTTTTGACATAAGAATCAGTTGAAAGAAACGAGAAAACCAATTCAATCAATCGTTCTCTTCGTCGACTTGCTTATGTTTCGGTTTGAGAACACTCAAATTTACATTAAATGTTTTTTTTACGTTCCAAGATTTACGTCCAATATGGATTACGTCTCGCGTAAAAGTAGTTATTTCTAAGTGTATATAATAATTTCATAATTTCGAAAAATATTTTCCGGGCGGAATGAGTTTCAACAAGCCTGAAATCAACTGTCCAGTTTTTTACGCTTGGTAATGGCTGCTCTGTGTGCGAAAATGTTCTGTTGCTGGCAGAAAACAGTTCAGAAATTCACGACATTTTTGCCGCTTGCCAGTATGTTTATGTGTGTCTTTACTATGGTCATTGCGAAAAGTATATAATGTTAAGGAAAAATGTTAAACGCCAGTACTTGTGCCACCACTGGTTCCAACATTTTACCGATATTTTATGTTCTACGATTTTTGCCGAATGTAAAGTGTTCATTTTGAAAATTTCACAAAGTCATATGGAAAATATTTAAAAAATATTGAATGAGGTCAATTTGTATAAACTTAATTTGTATTGTCCATAACAAATAAATATCCTATATTTCATACAAATCGGAGAATGTAGCGGTGATCATTCGTCATCTGGAGTAGAACTGATAAATTTGTTATTTTAACCAATGTAGTGTGATATAATTAATGCATGGCTCCTAGGAGTAAAAAGTAACATAAGCTTCGTTGACGGGAATTCAAATAAACAATACTGCAGATATTTAATTACTTATTTTATGAAATTTTATTATACACAAAATTTTGCGCACATACTTGGACAATATTCTTCTTTCTAGTTTACTACGTTCCTTCAGAAACTTACTTCTAGCCTTAGCTTAGTTGCAAGCACTTCCACAATAATCAATTGAAAGCTGCCTAACAAAAAATGATCAACTAAGAAACTGTTATTATCTAAATCATTTGATTCCAGGAAGATCCTACCACGGAGGGATAAACGAAGAAATAATATGGATCAGCATTGGAATGGCAATAACCATTGGTAAGAAAATTTATTGTAAATCTTCATTCCATCAGGCTCGGTTCAATATGTTTTCCGTAATGAAAGCAACCTGCTGACTTCCATTCTGTAAATAAATTCTGTTTCACATGTTTAAGTTACTTATATCGTTCCACCGGAAAATGTAATGACTGTAATTTAAGCAATTTAAGAAATAAAAAAATGTTTTCATTTTAGGCATTTTAATTACCCTTGCATTGATTTATCTTGCTTATGAGAAGTGCCAAAAGCGACGGAATCACTATATAAACGCGTAAATAACTCGACAGCAACGTAATGCGCATGGACCAACACTACCTGGTAACAATCTTTTACCCAGAAATAATTGTAATCAAAAATCGTTTCACCTTCAGTCACATATACATTTATTTCGGAGCACCACAATGTTGAAGAGCAAGCACCATTTAGGCCATATGAAAAACTGTTATATTATATAAGTAATATGTAATAATGTAAAAGTAATTAATACAAACGATAAATGTTTCCGAAAAAGAAAAAAAACGTTCAAGTTGATGAACAAATATCACACTAATATTTTTTCATTGCTTTTCTTGGCGGATTAAATTCTTGTGGCTTTTTCGTTTTCACGTGAACTACACCGGCGTAGTGCTAAACCGTGCATCAACATTATTCAGGGTCCGCACGATCATTTGATGAATCACTTGTGAGTTAAACGTAATTAGGGCGTAATTGCTTTTGTAAACAAAGGCTTTAGCCGTCGATTTCTCGCTAATAAAAGCCCACCCTTCCAAATTACATTTATCTACCTGCTGCTGTTATTCATTTTTATGAGTGAGCTTTAATTCACGAGAAATCGACATCTAAAACCATTGTTTACAAATGCAACTACGCCCCTTTGAAATGTTGGCACTGGTTTGATGGTTGCATTTCTTTTTTAGTTGGATCCAGTGCTGATAAAAATCATTCCTTCAACACTCAACTTACACAGAGAAAAAAAATTTCCCTTAATTTAAGTTCTTTTTTAACGGCGCCGGTGGTGTAGTGGTAAGCGTGATTACCTCTCACCCCAGCAGGCCTGGGTTCAATCCCAGTCGGCGCCGCCGGGATGTTCTGAGGCATAACATCTCTGAGCACGCCTTCCTTCGGATGGGAAGTAAAGCCGTTGGTCCCCGGTTCATGAGTTGATGGGTCGATAGGTAGGGTCCAGGTGTGGGAGCTGCCTTCCTGGCACGTCGGTAGCATTGGTGCTTAGCACGGAAAACAAGATCGACGGAAAAAAATAAACCAAAGGAAGTTCTTTTTACTTAATTTTGCGTAATTTTGAGTTTTGCATCCCACTCTCATTTTTTGTTGTTGTCAAAAACGGAACGAGAGGTTCGACTTTCTCATTACTATCGTTCAATAAGCTACTAGTGAGTATATGAGATATTCTCAAATTTTGAGTAGAAAATACTCACGAGCAAGTAATTATTTTTACCGTAGTCAAATGCACCCTACTATTAGGTTTTGCACCGTCGGGGTTAACCCTGGGGGGGGATGTGCTGTCAAATCAGCCTACTGATCATCTTGTATGAAACTGGTTCCAAACGTAAACATACGCTGTAGGTTTCTTATGGCTTGTTTACGTTTGGAACCAGTTATGCGAGGTAGGCGACGATTGTTCGTATTTGACAGCCACCTCCCCCCCTTGGGTTAACCTCAATCTAATGAAAGTTTAGTGGTACCACAAACAAACAGACGTAACACTTTGAAAAAGTTTTTCTTGAAAACATAGTATCTCAAAACATAGGTCCTCAGTAACGACATCTCTCTGGCTTCTCGCGGAAAACAAGCTTGCTCGCTAACTCGCAAACAATATTGCATAAAAGTTCTATAGAATGTATAGAAACGTCAAAGTGATCCGATGCCAGCGCTGCGGCGAGTAGTTCGCGGAACTGATAATATTCAAATCAACCGTTAAATGCGTGAACGAAGATACACAATGAAGTGTTACGTCTGTTTGTCTGTGGTGGTACCGTTTACGTGGACTTAGTCGATTTTTCTTGGTGGATTTTCTCGATAATTTTTCAGACTGCAGTGAGATGTAAACCACATTTCTGCAATGTTCACGAGCAACATCAGTTAAATTATGACAACCGTGGGTCGAAAACCGGTCGATCGACAGCACGGGGATTTTCGAACATAGAAAATAACTTTCGAAATGTCACTTTTAACCACGAGTTAAATTTAACTCGGCAAATGGTTCACAGCCTAAGGCTCTGAACCATTTGGTGGATTATTTTAACTTTTGGTTAAAATTTGACAGATGGAAAGTTATCGATGAACCCTGCTATCCGAGCATGGTTATTTCTGACAAACAAGAAGTTAAATTTTGACAACGGCGGGTCGAAAACCGGTCGATCGAAAACACGGGGATTTTCGAACATAGAAAATAACTTTCGAAATGTCACTTTTAACCACGAGTTAATTTTAACTCGGCAAATGGTTCACAGCCTAAGGCTGTGGTCCATTTGGTGAATTTTCACTTAAATTTGACACTTCGAAACTAAATTATAATGTTCGAAAATCCCTCTGTTGTTGATCGGCCAATTTTCGAGAAGGTGTGTGTCAAAATTGATTCCTTGTCTGTCAGATATAAGTCTGCTGGAATAGCAGGTTAATTTGGAAATTTTCCATCTGTCAAGTTTAAGTGAAAATTCGCCAAATGGAACACAGCCTAAGTCCACGTAAACAGTACCACTGAACTGTCTTCAGATTGAGGTTATCCGCGACGGTGCAAAACCTAATCGATGTTTATGATCGCCTGTGTTGTTGTCAATATCAATATTCATCTTCATCTTGATGGGAATGATTTTGAGGATCAAATGCAAAATAATTATTTTCATATTACACAAACATAGAGCTGTAGAACGTGTTGTGCTGGTTTTTATATTATCTGTTTGCAAGTAGATGCGAGAAATGAAAGAAGATTTTTCGAAGATTTATTCGCTTATCTTAAATAAATGAAAGTAAATTTGGGTGGATGTTTTTGTATCACATACAATGATAGAAGAGCAATAGTTTGTATCGCTTAACTCGATTTGTTTACATTTGTTACTTAGGACCTTTTGAAAAGTGACGCGAGAAATGAGCTAGGGGCACGCAATAACCTTAAACTCCACCGCAGGCAACGGATGTAATTAAATTAATTCCATTAATTTCTCGTGTTACTCTTCAAATGTGTTTTATTTTTCACCTTAAGTGTTGGCGAGGTTTTGCAGTGCACACTATTTTGCAATGTTTATGTGTTCGTGAAATGTTTATATGAATTTAACGTATCTGTTTGAAGAGCAGTGTTTTTTAGCCTTCCCGTGTGACGAAGCTACGTAATCGCGGATAAATTGAAATTTCCTTCGAATTTTTTTCTGGAAATGGACAAGCCGGGGCCCAGCCGACGCAGGCTCATCTCGGAAGAAATTGCAGTAGCAGCAGTAGCGAGAGAACAGAACAGCGATACTGAAGATGACAGTGAGGTGGAGGAAGCTTCAGACGCTGAAAATGAGACTGCCCCAACAGCACACTTGTCGCAAAACGATTGTACACTCAAAAATAATACAATTCGTTAATAGATTAAAAAATAAACATTTTTCAAATTCACCGGTTGTATACGCTCCATAGATTAAATTTTTACACTATCATAACTTAAACTTTATACCAAGTATGAATAGCAGTCAAAAAGCCTTCCCAAAGTATTCATGTATAGGGTGATTATTTCTTACCACACCTAGATTAGTCGTGCTGCAAGCGGTAGGTGGGTAGGCAGCGCGTTTTGTTTTTTGTTTTTACCGTGGTCCAAGCTGGCGGTCATTAGTGCATATTATGGAAATTGTGTCGATTAGACTGGAACTGGTGGAAAATCTGACCATTACGTGGAATCCGTGGATTGAGTTTCATCGTGTTTCACAAAAAGTGGCGCATTCGGGTGCTCTACCGCTGTCTGGTAGGTTTGCTTACATTTGTTAGGTTGTGAATGATTAGCTAATGGGAAATTTATTTCAGCTGCTGACGTCGAATTTGGTCCATCATGGGGAAGACGAGGAGGGAATCTTCGGATTCATGGAGGAGGACATCAGGAATGAGGAAGCTCGTATCCGAGGACAAAAGTGCTACATCTGCAAGGAGCGGTATGCTACCGTTATTTGCTGCGTAGAGCAGTGCTTCTGTAAATTTCATACGCTCTGTGGGATGCGGAAAAGGTGCCTGTTGCATACGTGCGATCCATGGATACGTTCCAGTCGTGGTGCGATAAGCTCGTAGCGCTGGTGGATAAGGTGAAATACTCTGAGACCGAGGCCGGTGGGATTTGCAACGATGAGATGGGACCTACAGGAAGCTGGAATCGATTCGTGCCCCGTGCTGTCCGAATGGCTGGTTCCATCGGAGCTGCATGGCACAGCTTCCCCATTCGGCGGGGTACTTTCTCAAGTGCCCTTTGTGCAGCAACAAGGACGACTTTAGCCAGGAGATGCAGCAGCGTATGATTTATATACCGGAAAAGTAAGTGAGGCGGAGGTGGGTGAATCGGTATTGGAATACTGAATATTTTTCATTTGTTCTAGGGATGCCTCGTGGGAGCTGGTAACTGGTCAAGAAGATTTGACTGCCACGAGGGGCTTCCGTCGAAAAGTTGCTTCGAGCCATACCGGTCGTAAGGCTCGAGAAGCTCAGCTCGAAAAAGATCAAATCGTTGACTTCTCCGAAGAATGAAGTATTCTCCGCCGGATTATCGACCGTGTTCGATTTCAACTATCGTGTGAAGTTGAACAAAAAGCAGCGTCGAAAATCGATGGTAGAATTGCAGTCCATCAAGGAGGTCATCCGTTCCGACACGGATATGCTAACGGATGCCTCGGCGGAACAGGAGATCGTACGTACCAAAACGCCTGCCCAGAAATCCTTTGCCAAGCAGTTCAAACTAAAGCTTCTCGGGTCCAAATCCGAACCAAGAAAACGGTCGACCAGAGAGTCTGATCCGGAGCACGATTGCAAAAGATTTGATTGCTTCACCAAGGTTTTCACTTTTCTAAGAAAATAAATTATACATTGTTTGAATTTATTGCTTTTCAATCAATAAAAATACCAAAATTAAAAGGACAGTGATCAAATACATTGTATAGATAATCCACCGGTAAACTACGCATGAATATTCAAAAGATAAACTATACCCCTTATACTTCAAGTTTATACTAGGCTCGTTTTGTTGGCAACTAAACGAAGCCTGGGGTCAACCAGGCGAATAGCGTTTTAGTGTGATTTTTAAACTAATTAGTTTAATTTTTTCTGAGTGTAGTATCTCCTATCCGACTTATTCGGGTCACAATCAAGTTGCGGCAACTCTTCGAGACGGAAGTGTGTTGCTTGGGTGGGGCTATTTCTAGTCAGTCGTCATATGATAAACATTGCTGCACTTGCTACATGCATCATTTATTATGAGCACAATACAAAATTCTCAGCCACGGATAAGCGC